AAGTTCAGGAGTATTGCCTTCCTTTTCATTTCTGATTTTAGTAATTTGGGTCTTCTCTTCTTAGCTTGGTGAGCCCTGTCAATTTTATTGGTCTTTTCAAAGGATCAACTTTTATTTTTGTTATTCTCTCTGTTGTTTTTGTTGTATATTTCAGTGTAACTTGCCTTTTCCCCACAAGCTTTGGGTTCAATTTATCCTTCTTTTTGTAGGTTCTTAAGATGGAAGTTAGGGTACTGACTTGAGATAGTTCTTTCTTAATGTGGGCATTTGCCACTATAAATTTTCCTCTAAGTGCTGCTTTCATTTCAGTCAGCAGTTTTGGTATGTTGTGTTTTCATTTTCACTCACCTCAAAGTGTTTTCTAATTTTCCTTTTGTTTTCTTCTTTGACCCATTGGTTGTTTATGAGTATGTTGTATTTGTATATTTTCCACCTTCCTTTTTGTTATTCATTTGTAGCTTCATTCCACTGTGGTCAGAGAAGATACAACTTCATGATTTGAATCCCTGAAAATTTTTTCAGATCTTATTTGTGCTCCAATATTTGTGCCCCAACGTTATCTATCCTGGTGGATGTTTTATGTGCACTTGTGAAGAAGGTAGATTCTGCTGTTGTTGGGTAGAGTGTCGTACGTATGTCTCCTAGGTCTAGTTAGTTTATAGTGTTGTTCCAGTTCTTTCTTTCCTTATTGACCTGTCTGTGTAGATGGTCTATCCATTATTAAAAGTGCGATATTGTTGGCTCTAATTATTATTTTATAACTGTCCATTTCTGCTTTCCATCTGATCAATTTTACATTATTATTTTTGGCTCTGTTATTAGGTGCATATAGCTTATAATTGTTATAATTTCTAAATGAATTGACCCTTTGATCAACATATAATCCTCTTCTTATCTCTTGTGGGTTTTTTTGTTTGTTTGTTTTGTTTTGTTTTACTTAAAATTTGTCTTAGTCTATTTAGGCTTCTGTCAGGAAATAACTTAGACTGGGTACTTCGTGAACTACAGACAAATTACTATTTCTCACAGTTCTGAAGGCTGAATAGTCCAAGATCAAGGCACCAGCAGATTTGGTGTCTGGTTAGGACTTTTTCCCTCAAGTCCTTTTGTAAGGACACTAACCCCATCCATGAGGGTGGAACCCTCATGCCCTGATCACCTCCTAAGGGCCCCACTTCTTACTACTGTTGCGTTGAGGACTAAGTTTCAACATGAAGTGTGGAGGGACACACGTGTTTAAGTCACAGCAAAGTCTATTGTGTCTGCTATTAGTATAGGCACTTACGCTCTCTTGGTTACTACTTGCATGGATATCTCTTAAAAGCCTTTCACTTTTAATTTACTTGTGATTTTTCATCCAATTTGGGTTCACTGAAGAGAGCACATTTTGGACTATTTTTTAAAAATCCGTTC